AGAAGAAGAAGAAGAAGAAGAAGAAGAAGAAGAAGAAGAAGAAGAAGAAGAAGAAGAAGAAGAAGAAAGAAGGAGGAGGAGGAGGAGGAGGAGAAGGAGAAAATAAAAAGGGCTGGAAGTACAGCCCAGTGATAGAGCACTTCCTTAACATTCTCAAAAATGTGGGTTCAATGCCCAGCATCAAAGAACAAAAAAGAATTTGCAATTCCAAGATGGAAGAAAATCAGTAAACTCTGTCAAATTTCCTCACTTCTACCACATGTATTCACAAACCTAATCCTCTGTTATTTGCTCATCTTCCATACAGGGCATTTGAGAAAGGTCACCGAGTCAGTAATGTTATCAGTGAGAATCAAAGACACTCTCTTGCCATCCACTGAGCTCACGCTCTGATGTCACACTGCTGCATATTCATAAACTGCAAAGGCTCTGCATCAGCACAGGCTGCTAACCAGGTAAACACAAGAAAACTCTGGGATTTAAATTAACCAATTTTATCAATCCAAATTGCTTCAATGCTTTTATTCCTTCCATAAATGTGTGTCCCCAATATCTCTCCTTGCCCATTTTATTTTGGTGATCTCATTAACTCCGATGGCTTTGGCACCTCTCTATCAAAAATTCCCAACTTTCATCACTAGCAATAACTTTTTTCTTGATACTGAGATTCACATGTTCAGACTTTGCTCCAGATTTGCACCGTTTACTCAGTACTTCTAGGACCAAACTCACCATTTATTTCTGAAAAGTCAAAGCATTCTCTTCTGTCCTAATTCTGTGAATGGTACCACCCCATCACCTAGGCATCTTTGATTCTTCCCTCAACTTTACCTCCAACATCCAATTAGTAGCCCAGTGCTGAGATTCAGGCTTCGTGCTTCCCTCCCATCATCCCCCCTTCTTTCCATTTCCCATGCTATCTCCCCAGTTCAGACATCATTACCTTCTGCCCTTCGGCAACAGCCTCACTGATCTCTACTTTCAAGTCCCCCTCCAGCCTAAGTTTTCCTACCTAATCCTGCCAGGTTCTAAACTGCAGCTCTAACAAAGATCTTTCAGAGAATATCCACTACAGAAAAACATTATGTACAAAGTCTCACCCTGACATTTAAGACCCCCTACAAGACTGTTACAACCTACCTTATAAAAATTTTATTCCACTCCTTCCTTATGTCTTTACTGTCCATTAAGTTACACTATGCTCTGTTAAATGAAAATGTCCTTATTTTCCCCAGTTGTAATTTTGTGCACAAAATTCAATTCCCTGGCATACCCTCTGCTACCACTTTCCATGTACAATTGCAAATTATCCTAGGACATTTTTTCAAGAGATAGTTACTATAGTACCTCATATAAAAAAGCTGTATTTATCTTCCCTTCATCATCTCATGCCAGGAATTAATTTTTCTTCTTTAAAATATTAAAACACTTCATTGACACCATATTCTACCAAATCATAGAATCAACTGCACACCTTCTTTTCTTTTTCTTCTATTCTTTCACCAGCAGCTGCGAAGACAGTGAAGAAAGGAACAGCCTTCCAGGGGGTATCATATACTCTATACACCCAACAAATATGCAAATTACACTATTCTCTTCCCAATCCATGTACTCAGTGTTCATTTATCCAAATAATGAATCCATAATTGTACCCCAAATATAAAGCCAGTATTTTAGAACATTATTTTGACTCTTTCCAAAAGGAAACAAATACTAGTTGATGAATTCACTAAAACTCTTCATGAGTGTCCCATTACATATCTGTGGTGTGATTAGTACAAAACAAAAAGTCAAAATGAGGGTAACAGTAAC